TTGCCGTAGTTCACAGTTCTTCTTAGCTATAGTATTTGACTTGATAGAAGTCTAGGGAACGAGAAAACATTCAATGAAAGCATATTTTTATCTATCCATTCATGCACGATTAGCACACAATCGGAGAAACAGTGCTAGAAAATTATTTGCTTAACTGGCGCTTTAAAAATATTTAAAAACTGGTCTATTAGCTGATGCGAAGGTTATTTAAGATCTTGGACAGGAGACAAGATAGTTTCTCCCTTCTGATGGCTCAGCTCATTATCCGTAAGCTCAGCTTTACGATGCGGCTATCTCTTTGATACACTAAAGTTAAGCAAACGTTTTATTTCGTCAAGAACATCAAAGATTATAAGGTAATTCTACAATAAGTGTTAGTTTGACCATAAGACTTGCCTATTTCTCTCTCTATATATATGAATGTATATACTTATTTATGATAACGTTAGAGCTTTCATGCTCTTAACTGAAAGTTAAAGTTCACCCAAAATCTCTTTATTACTATCATCGTAAATGCAAAGAATAATATGCACTTGATTGCTTTAATTTTGCCTTTGTTAATTGTGCGGAAAAGAATCAAAAAACCTTAAAATTATACAAATATCTGCATATAAATTGCATTCCGTTAAGTTTAATACAATTAGCCTAATAGTTTTGTCTTCCCATTAACTAGCTACTGGATTTTTGAAATAAACGCTTTTTTGATGGCTAAATGTATTGACATCAATAGTAATTTTATTCATTGCAGTCTCTGTACTGTTATAATAGCTTCAGCCATTTGCTATTATGAGGCCCACACTTCTAAAGTTCATGCAAAAAAAGGATTTATTAAATATTTTCTGGTAATCTCTGGCTTACGGTCTTTGCATAAATCTCTTGAAGGAACAGGCTAAAGGTGTCTTCTGATAAGGTAGCTCGAAATGAGGTTTCTTGGGACATACCTGTCTTTTGGCTAAGCCAATACACTAAATTTGGATATTATGGCCTAAATATTAATAATTATTTGCATTAGTTGCTGAAAACAGCAGGTATATGAAAGAATTATCTGTATAAGTCTCATCTCGACTCAAACCTCAGCCATAAAATGAACTTATGCCATTAAGTGCCATAAAGAGCCAGTTTCAACTTTTAGTTCTCATAGGCATTGCAACCCTGTAAAACTACAATAACCAATTCATTAAACCATGTATACCTAATTGATATTTCGAAATCATGCTCCTCAGGTTACACATATTTCCTTTTTGACTTTCGGATTTTATGCTATACTTACATGTATTCAAACTTCGTTACGTATATATGAGAGGCAATCTCAGCACCTATCTGCCATTTGTGTTGCCTTTGGTGTTAAGAGAAACTGGGAATCATCATAGTTTTACCACCGAATTCAAGATTGTATGAAAGGCCAACTCAGGCTCTAATGAAGTTTCTATTACACTCAGGAGACTTTAAGAGTTTATTCCATCATTGAAATGAAAAGATTGAATTTCCAATCCAAACTTACTCCGCGAATCGCTGTTGAAAGCGTAACTACCAGACCTTAGATTCCCTTAGTGCCTTATGCAATATAATTGCTCCAGTCTCGGTTAACTGATAACCTCAACCGATAGTCCCACTAACGGGTTGGAATCATTTAATCGGAGGGATAAAAATTTCACAAAAAAGATATTTTTTGTGATGGAGATCACTAATTATTTATAAATCTATATCACCTAAGAACTGTGATCTGCTTTATCTGACATTCATCACTTGCGAGTGTTAACTAGGCTAACCATCAGTGCGCATCTCATTGTTGAGTTGAGAAAAATAATTGCAACCCTTAATCGCTTAGCGGGTTTACGTGCACTTACTGGAATACATTTGCCAGTGATAAAATGGCGGTAACCCGAGAAGCAGCATACTTGAGCTAAAACGAAACTAGTATCTTGACCGCTAGGTATATTGCATGAACGAAAGTCTGTGATCGCTGAACAATTAGCAAATAAGTGCATCCTAAAGAAAAAAAGAATAGATAGGAAAAGCCTATACTGAAAAGTACCTTTCTGGAGCTTTAGATGTGCGAAATCGAGGTATACTCAAGCCATATTTTGCATACAGGAAAGAGAGATATCTAAAATAAATGTTTTGGCAGCTGAGTGTACTTAAATAGGCTAGCTTATTCTTATTCACTAATTCGTTCGGCTATTTTATTCACAAGTCTATAGGCTAACCAGCTTAAAGCTTCAGACAAGGTGAAGGCACATAAATAAATTTGGAAATAACTAATGAGCATTCTCCATTTATCAAAATTTTATGGTATGCATATGAAGACACATAAAGACAAATATGTGCATGCATTCAAGTGAGAATGGAAGAAAAGAATTATAGTCCTAAAAAAAGTAGTATATGGGAGCGTAATAGTAAATTAAAAAACGTTTCAAAATGAAAATATATTGTATTGACGCGTTACTAAATAAAAACAAATATGACCGAATGAAAAACTGTATTTGAGGACAAGAATTTTGGTAGACGGAAAAATAACATTTTTTGAATTTATCAGTAGAACACAGTAAATGCTTCATGCAAAGTAGTGATAATGTGGGAAGAGTAATGAGTTTCATACAGCTTTAAGAAGCTGATCAAAGCATTATTGGAATAGGCGTTAGTTGCTTGATCAGACGCCAAGTAAGGAGCTCCAGCTTGTTAATATGAACAGTAAGTCTCCTTTAGCCAGAAATAGCTGGTATTTTTAAAAATACTACTGACCATACGTACTGCATCAGTACGTATTTGTCAATTTCACCCTCCTCCAATGTATTGCTATACCCCTTGTCAACCATACTTCCAGTTTATGGAAATTGCTCTGGTCCCAAATGAAAACCTTCTAGGGTTTTATAATGAGTGAGCGATCTGACAATACAGCTTCATAAATTATACCTTAACAATAAGTTTATAGGTGTCTCAAAGCTGCGGAATATTAGGCCTCGTCCAGAGCATTATTCGCATAGACGATAGCTTCGATGAGTCTATTTACTAAAGGAGACTTGACGCCTTACTCTCGATGAGTTCTCTTTCCTGTATCAACTTTCTCTGTATAATATTGAAGTCATTCAGCCATATTCTCTCGTAGGCTTGGAATGACTTCGGTTTCGTAACCTGTTTGAAGTGACAGATAGGGCTGGTAGACCCTGCCTATTTGAACTTCGGAATTCTGAAGCCAACGTGAATTAAAAGGGCAACCGGAACGAGAATCAGGTATTCAAGAGGCAAAAGTTTGCATAAATGGCTTCTGATTCAAGTACCAACTGAAGTCAGGAAGCTTAAGTGGCGGTGAAAAAGAATAAGCCTAGCTAAGCCCACCTCAAGAGTCATACCCTTTAAAGATATTGAAATAAATAAAGATACAGACAAGTGTGGATATAAAAATAGGCAATAGAAAGGGGACTTAAGGGACGACGATGCAGCGCTAGGAGCTAGGACGGAGGGGGAGGAGACATACCATAAGCGTTGAATTCGGCGCTAAGTAAGGTACCTCTCACGAAAGTTGACTGATAAGAATCCGGCCAAACGTCTGAAAATGTACCAATTCAACGGTCGGATGTTGGAAAATATGATTACTTATATGGCAGAGGATGCAGAACTAGACAGGTTCTGCCAAGTCTGAGTACATCTTGACCGTTACCCCAAAGTCACCCAAGTCGCTTAGTGCGATCTTAGGGATGATAGTGGAATAATCACATAATAAAATGAATAGACCTTGCTAGAGAATGACTGATTATCTCAAAACATACTCAAATCAAGACTAAGTAGAGTCGCCTAATGTTATATAAACGACATATTTGCTCCATAGACAATCTCAGTATAAATTTCCCTTGGAAAGTATTGTAAAAGAATTACACCACCACTTCTTAATTCACCTTAACAAAATCGAGCGCTTATTCAAGTTGCAAAATAGGCATGAATTCGAGCAAAGAACTTGTCTCTATCAGCTCACATATTTCGAAGGAACTAGTGTTGCAATGTACTTATGCTACAATACTCGGTAAATGACTGAAGTTATGTCAAAAAATGAGTGCTGTTATGCATGGCACAAAGGACTTAAATGAAAAATAAATCCTTTACTTCGAGGTATCATGGGTAAAATCGCTATTCGTTTCTATAACGACATGAAAGCATGATGCATATAGAAAAAGTTATATTTAACCAATTTCTTCAAGAGCGTATTAACTGAAAGCTTCATAACATATGTTAGGTACTCAGGTTTGCTGCTACGCGACTCAGGAATTGGTCAATACATGTGGTCTCTACAACATGTATGTACTGGTAGCACTGTTAAAATTAAACACATTCTTGTTTGCCTCCCTTTAAATTACATAGATTTCATTACGTTCGTTGCATCTTCTCATCCTCATTGATTTTTTTAATCTTTTGTGCATAATCATATAAACGCTCCTTATCTTCTAAGCATTCTCACTGCTACGGTGTTTATTTTTTATAGAAAGTGATGACTCCTCATGCTCTAGAAACTTTCCGGAGTGCCATAGTCGTACTTCTAAATAGTTCATTTGACCATTTTATTTCGTAGCTATTGAGAGACTTATTATTATAGGATTATAAATGTTTCCACTATCTTTTGGATTGAGCCTAAAGCGATTCTGCCACTATGAATGCAATAAAAATCCTGATATTTTCGATAACCTGTACATTTTCGAACATCCCGAATGACTGTTCTTGCTAGGTGTGGACGAGAAGCATGACAATGAAGGCAAATCTAGCCTCTATATCAACTCATTTCATATCTTTTCTAATTTCATACCAATAGAAAACCGCTTATTTTACACATTGGTTCTCCATGGAAGTAATTTCGGCGCTAGAAACGATTTCGTTTCTAAGCCTTTGGTTATATACACAAACCCAAATTTAAGCCAGAACAATTTAGGAATCGGGTAAAGTTGGTCATTCTAAGTATTCTAAGCGAAGTTTTATCGAATAGCTGATGCCAAATAGAGTCTTCTCTTAATTTTGGTTTATTGAACTTTTCCTCATGGGGCGGAAAACATCCAAGTATCTGGCCGCAGGCCATTTTGCATAAGTTTACTTGGCAACAAGTTCCTTTGATGCAGACTAAGGGCTACATTTTGCCAACTTTTGGTGAAGCAAATTTGAACGTTGAAATAAAGATTATGAAAATGGCAAATTTTTCTACCAGATCACCCTGACTATGTCATAGCTCCAAGGCGAAGTATATCGGAAATACATAACAAAATCACAATTATCTGAACTCCCTCGCTTTTTATTCCTCTCTTTTTAAGGGTGGCATTATCACTAAGGCCCCGATAGGCAGTTTTCAAGCCAGCCAGCAATTTCGCCTTAGCGTCCGGGTCACTGATCTCAACGCTGAGGTGACGGCCACCTCTTATGCAGACATGCAGCTCTTTGTCTATGTCAGTTTTCAACCAGTCGCCTTCCCAGGAAGTGAATTCAAAGTCTACTTCCCTGAGGCATCGCCCGTTGGAACCAGGCAAGCCTTACTGCAAACATACTAGTAAACCTACCATTTTAATCCAAAGTTTCCTAACTTTCCTATCCTCTTTTTTTCTCGGACTCTATGGAATGGTATCAATTATACAATCAATCACACTTGCCTTTACATATGATTAAGTCATCATTATGTATAATTAAATGAAGAGTAAAAATTGCATTTGTAATTTGGCATTCATTCTTCGAACACTCGGTTTGAACGCTCGATTTATTTAACACAAAACTGAGCCCAAATCTCAGTCAACCTCATTCTGTGGTAGATACTCGCAGAGGTTGGCGGCTCACATTCTGAAGGAGGACAGTCCATTTAGTATCTAGGACATGGGTGCTGATGTGGAAGTGAAGCCAATCGAGAACTAGATCTGGCATAATTGTATACATACGTGTTCTGATAGAAAGGAAGGTTACGACATTGGTAGGATGAGCATATACATTTATATATCTGTGTATAAATGTGTGTTTATGCGTAGTCGAAAAGGAGTTCCTTGAGTAAAAGCACATGTTATTCGAAAATGAATGGAAGCAAATTGTACTAGAGCAACTAAGGCCTGAAGTACCAGCACATTGGTTTGCTTGCAACCAATTCTTGATAAGCTTGCCTTCTTCAGGGGATACGCCACAAAAATTCAGATCACGAGTTCCTCTACATGTTTGATGATTCAGCCCCACATTCATGTCTGAAGAGCTCGTTTAGTTAATACCAAGTGATCACAATTAAGCCTTATGTATTTGGGCCAAAATGCTGTGGCAGTTATCTTTGTGAAAACTTTGCTTGACGGTGTTACGGTAGCTTAATAATATAGAAATTAAAAGTTGGGATAGCTTGCTGAATTCTTCATTTAGTACGAAATATTTGCTAGAGAAGAAGAGTGAATTCCTCTAATACAAGCACAAAGAGCGATGGCCTGGTAATTGTTATGACTGATCTGGGTTTAGTCGCCATCGAGACACTTTTGTTCGACTGTGATCAATCCTCGCTGAACTATCATCTGCTGCCGAGGCAGGCAACGCCAGATTAAAGGAGAAAACACAATAAATACCCTAAATTAAAAAATCTGAGGTCATTTGGCATAAACAATTGAAAGACTCTGTATGAGCCAAT